TAAATGGAAGGATGGAGAGATGGATGGATGAAGAGATGGATGGAGAGACAGAGGGATGGACAGATGGAGGGACAGTTTTGGACCTGAGGTTGCTCCCCAAGAGCCTTGGGGAGCGGGAGGGGGGTCCTGAGAGGCCTGGGGGCTGTGGCAGAGCCCGGGGAGGCCCCGTGGGGAGGTGTGAGCCCCCCTCCCCCTCCTCCCCGCCCATTTCCAAACCCCAAAATTGGATTTTTAAATATATAAACCCGGCGGCCGTCGGGCCCCTGGCAGCAGGAGGCAGTCGGTGGTGCAGAGCTGGGCTCGCTGCTCCCCCCGTCCTCTCTCCAGCTCTGCCAGCCCCCTGCCCCCTTCCCAGTGCTGCACACGGGAGGGGCGGGGGTGACCTTGGGGCCCCCCACTCTCCGGAGCTGCCGGACCCCCGGGAAGCAGAGCAGGGCTGGTGTCCTTGGCGTGACCGTGGGGGCTGGCAATGCCATGGGGCTGTGGGGAAGGGGTTGGTGGGGTCCTGGGGGCCGCAGCTGATGGATCCATCCATCCATCTATCCATCCATCCATCCATCCATCTATCCATCCATCTATCCATCCATCCATCCATCCATCCACCCATCCATCCTCCCGCCCCCGTGGCAGCATCCCCAGCACCCCCTGGTCCATCCCACCGGCACGGGACCCTCTGCCCCACAGCGCGGGGGGATCCCCCGGCCCTCCACCACTTCTCTTTCCCCTCGCACCCCCCTCCTCCCGGCTCCCTCAGCCCAGCTGGCCCAGCGCGGGGTCCGCAGCCCCCTCCCCGCCTCCCACGCCCCCAGCCCTGTTTTGTCTGCCGGCGAACGCGGCAGCAAGCCCAGCAATTTTTTTCTCCTTTTTTTTTTTTTTTTTTTTTTTTTTCCCCTTCCTCGGGCTGCTTGTTTGGTTCACGCTTGGCTGGGGCTGCCTTTCTTTGCCTCCCCTCACATGACGTGCAGGTGTGTATGGGAACCCTCGGCCGCCGGGCCCTAATTAGTGGCATAGAGTGTGACCCCCCGCCGCGCTTTTCACGGGCTCTGCCGGGCTGGGACAGGCCGGTGGGTTTGACAGCGCGGCACAAAGTGACACATGGCACAATGGGCAGGTTGTGGAGGGGGGAAACGGTCACTTAGGGACTGTCGGAAAAGTCCCAGGATGGCCCCGGGGGCAGGATGGCGGCTCGGGAAGAGGGGGGTGGGGTCGGGCCGAGCGGGATTTCGAGCGCGGAGTCGCCGTCGGGGATGGTGGATTCGTGTCCCGTCCTGGAAACTGGGCCGGGTCACCTCAGACGTCAGCATTCTGGTTAAAAACTCAGCATTTACGGAATCCTAAAATCCCGGGCTGGTTTGCGTTGGGAGAGACCTTAAAGCCCCCCCCCAGTGCCACCCCCTGCCGTGGTAGGGACCCCTCCCACCGACCGGGGGGATCCAAGCCCCGTCCAATATCCGTCTGATGAAATCCATGGGATAATCCATAGACCTGCTGAGCCCCCTCTTCATCCCTGTCCTTGCCCTGGGACAGAGGCTTTGGGGCATTTGGGGGCTGTTTATCTGTCCCATTCCCTGTCTTTGCCCCAGCTGGGTCCCACTCTGTAGTTTGGGATAGGGCTGAACCTCCCTCGCTGCACTCCCGCTCCAGAGGGACCCTCCCCTGGGGACAGGACACAGGGAATGGCTTCCCACTGCCGGAGGGCAGGGTTAGACGGGACATTGTGAAGGAATTCTCCCCTGGCAGGGTGGGGAGGCCCTGGCACGGGTCGCCCAGAGGAGCTGTGGCTGCCCCTGGATCCCTGGAAGTGTCCAAGGCCAGGCTGGAGCAACCTGGGCTAGAGAAATGTGTCCCTGGGGTTGGCACTGGACGGGCTTTAAGGTCCCTTCGAGCAAAGCACTCCACGATTCCCCGATCTCCAGCGATCCGTGCCCCCCCTCCGGCGCTGGGAAGGAGCCGCGGGCGCACTTTGGAGCTGAGCCCTAAGGCGGGCGCGGCCCGGGGGGGCCGGGGCGGAGGGGCCGGAGGCTGGGAGGGCCGGGGGGGGGCTGGCGAGGGCAGGGCGGGCGAGCGGGAGCAATTAGCGGCGGGCGGGGCCGGGCCGGGCCCCCTTTGTGCTCGGGTCCGTGTTCCCCCCCCCCCCGGCCGCCGCGGTGGGCAGCAGTGCGTGAGCGCGGGCGCTAACGGAGATCGCATCTGACAGGAGCTGTGAATTTGGGGCTGGGGGGTGTGGAAAGGCCAGGTTGAAAGACTTTTCTTTTCCCTCGGCCCCTCTTCCCCCGCCCCCCCGCTCCCCGGCCGTGCCCCCGGCCGGCCGCCCGCAGCCCACCCACCCCGCCGGCCCGGCCCGGCCCCGCTCCGCCGCCCAATTATGGGAATTGGAGCTTCCCGGGGCTCCCCCGCCGCTGCCTCGGCCCTCCCCCTCCTCTTCCTCCTTCTCCTCCTTCTCTTCCACCTCCTCCACCTCCTCCATCTCCCCCTCCTTCACTTTTTCCGTGCCGAAGGATGGATGGGATGGATGGATGGATAAAAAGGTGGATGGCAGGACAGATGGAATCACGGCCCCGGCGTGAGGAGAGGGGGCAGAGGGATGAAAGGGCCCAGCGGGGTCAGCGAGCCCCGCCCTGCAAGGGCAGGATTTCGGCACTGACACATCCCGGGATGATCAAGGGCAGCTCAGAACCGGCTCAGTGCCCCCACACCCGCCGGGGCTGAGCCCAATCCCGGCGCTCCCGGCCCTGCTGCCTCTCCCTGGGCTCCCGCACGGCCTCGGCCCCCTTTGGCACCCCTGTCCTAAATGTCCCAGGTGACTCCTGCCCCACGGGTGTCCCTGGGGGGGTCACACCCCCAGCACCCTCCTGTCCTCACCCGAGTGTCACCCTGGGAGTGTCCCTGGTGCCCCGCGAGGTCTCGGGGTAGTGCCCTCTGCATCCCACCAGGATTCTCAAAGGATAGTGGCTTTAAACTGAAAGAGGGTGATTTAGATGGGATATTGGGAAGAAACTCTTCCCTGTGAGGGTGGGGAGGCCCTGGCTGCCCCTGGATCCCTGGAAGTGTCCAAAGCCGGGTTGGACAGGGCTTGGAGCAACCTGGGCCACTGAAAGGTGTCCGTGCCCATGGCAGGGGTGGCACTGGGTGACATTTAAAGGTCCCTCCCAACCCAAACCATTGTGTTCCGTGGCTCTCTGCAGGGCTGTGCCCATCTCAGGGGGTCAGGGCTGGGCCCGGGGGTTTTGGGGGGTGAGGGGTCTGTGCCCGGGCTGGGACAGAGGACGTGGGGTGGGTGGGAAAGGCCTGGTGGGATGGAGACGCCCCGCTGGGACCTGCAGGAGCCACTGGAGTTCCAGCAGGTCACCAGGCTGTGGGGGCACCTCGCCGGGATGGGGTGTCCCAGGGCAGGGAACCTCTCCTGGCGCTGCTGGAGGGGAGAGCCAGGGCAGCTGGGGGACAAGGGGAGGCCTTCCTGCTGGTTGTGGTGACATTCCCAGCTGTGACATCCCTGCCAGGTGTGTGGGAACACCTCCGGGAGGTGACACATCCAGCTGTCACCGGGCACCATGGTGGCAGGAGGCCACCCCGGAGTGACATTCCTGCAGGATGGGTGCTCCAGGTCTCCAGTTCAGCTGCCACTGGTCACTCGGGCTGGCCCTGGGATGAGGGATGGGACAGCAGGAGGGAGTGGGATGGATCCCAGGGTTTGGTGCTGCCGGTGCTGGGATCAGGGTGGGAGCCCCCCCGGGAGCCTCCCCAGCCCCGGGGGCTGACGGTGTGTCCTTCCCTTCCCCCAGCCTACAGGACGGTGTGTGGGGTCAACGGGCCACTCGTGGTGCTGGACAATGTGAAGGTAGGACCCTGTCCGGGGGGGTGACGAGGGGACACCTTGGCAGTGTCACCCGGGGCTGGGCAGGGACCACCGTGCTGTCCCCCCCTGGGCTGGGCTGCCACCCAGGCAGGGAGAGGGCACCGGGGGGAGCTTGTCCCTCATCACCTCTCTCGTGTCCCCCGGGCTCTCCCATCCCCTCTTCCCTGTCCCGCATCCCTTCTCCCCATCCCTCGTCCCCTGGGCTGTTTTCCAGGCTGGTCTCTTATCTCTCATCCCCTGTCCCTTGGACTGGTCTCCTGTCCCGTCTCTCCTGTCCCTTGTCCCCTGTTCCCCTGAGTTGTTCCCTGTCCCCTCTCCACTGTCCCCTGGGCTGTCCCCCGGGCTGTCCCCTGTCCCCCGGGCTGTCTCCCGTCCCCCGGGCTGTCCCCTCCTCTCCGGGGTCCGAGCTCCCTCCTCTGGACGCGGTCGGCAGCAGAGCCCGTGTCCCCGTGTCCCCGTGCGATTGTCGTGTCCCCGTGTCCCCGTGCGGGCGGTGTGTGCGCCGGGGGGACGAGTGTACGCTGGGCCCGGGGACACTGCGCTGCGACCCCCGTGTCCTGTCCCCGTGTCCTGTCCCCGTGTCCTGCCCAAGCTCGGCCCTGTTCTCCTGTGCCCCTGCCCAAAATCCAGCCCTTCTCCCCAGGCTCCGTCCCTTGTCCCCTGCCCAATGTGTGGCTCTTGTCCCTTGTCCCCTGCCCAAGCTCCAGCTCCCTGCGGGACCCTGCTCTGAGTGAGACCACACCACGACCCCCCCGCTCGGCCCGTGTCCCAGCCCGGGGTGACACCTCGGTGTCCCCCTGCCTGTCCCTGCTCCCCGCGCAGGGTCTGGGCTCTCTTGGGTGGGCTCTGGGCACCTGGGGGACCCTCCGAGGGGTTTTGTCGCCCGCCGGCTCGTTTCCATGGCCCCTTTCACGCCGAGCCCGGCGGGACGGGAATTAATCAGCTCAGTTAAAAGAGCCAGCCCGTGGCGAGGGTTTCCTCGGCTTTGTCGTCCTTTATCCCAAGGTCTTTCCAGAAGAATTAAAGTCCAAAGTTCACAGGGCCGGAGGCAGCCCCGGTGGCGGCTGGGAGGGAGGAGGAGGAGGAGGAAGAGGAAGAGGAGAGCCCGGAGTGTGCTGGGCAGGGGAGAGACCCTTAGGACGTTGTCCCCAGAGCAGGACGTGTCCCCTCAGCCAAGGGGCGGCAGAAAAGTCCCCTCCATCCGCCCCGGGGGGGTTGGGGAGGGTGGGTGGTGTCCCCTGGGGTGCCGAGTCCCACTCGTCTCGTCCCCGTGGCCAGTGCGAGGTGGTGGCACCGTGGTGGCCCTGTCCGTGCCTGGCAGGGACTGTGTGAATTGGCTGCACCGGGGACTGTCCCCAGCATTGGGTAACATCGCCCAGTGTTGTGGAAACCGAGGCAGGAGCAGCGCAGAGCCGGGAGTGGCTCTAGGATGGGGCAGGGACAGGCAGCACCTTCCCCCGGCCCCCCACCGCTGTCCCGTGTCCCCCCTCAGAGTGCGGTGGCCTCAGGGAGCACAAACCCGCCCCCCAGGAGGGGAACTGGGGCAGCCCGGCAGGGCTGGGGGGACGGGGGCTGCCAGGGGCGGGCTGGGGGGGCACAGAGGAGCCCCCCCGCCCCAACTCCCCCCTCCCCTGTCCCCGCAGTTCGCCCAGTACGCCGAGATCGTGAACTTCACGCTGCCCAACGGCAGCACCCGCAGCGGGCAGGTGCTGGAGGTGATGGGCTCCAAAGCCATCGTCCAGGTGAGCCCCGCGGGACACGGGGACACGCGGGGCCGCACGGCCCGGGAATGTGTGCCGGGGGCCCGTCCCGGGGCTCTGTCCAAGGGATCTGTCCCGGGGCTCTGTCCCAGGGATCTGTCCCGGGGCTCTGTCCCAGGGATCTGTCCCGATGCTCTGTCCCAGGGATCTGTCCCGGGGCTCTGTCCCCCTCCAGCGGTGGCTGCCGCGTCCTTGTCCCAGCGCTCTCGGGCGGCAGGACCGCTGTCCTGGGACCCGTGGTGTCCTGGGATGAGCAGTGTCCTGGGACGGGCAGCGTCCCGGAATGGGCGATGTCCTGGGACGGGCAGCGTCCCGGTACAAGTGCCCGGGGACAGGTGATATCCCGGGACGGGCAGGAGGCTCCCGGGATATGCGTTGTCCCGGATTGTCGGTGTCCCGGGACAGGTGTTGTCCCCATCCCTTGTCCCCACGTCCCCCACACCAACCTCCCCCTCCATCCCAGCAGGAAAACCCGGGACCCCCTTGCCAAGCCCCCCCCCCCCGCCATCGGCCCCCAGCAGGGCCCCGACTGGGACGGGCGGTGGGTTCCGGGGTGCCCCCAACCCGGGGCACTGGGACTGTTTGGGGTCATCCTGCCTGATTACGCCGGATCCCCCCTAAAGCAGCCCACCCCCAAGGGCTCGGGGGGGCTGCGCAGCTGCCCAAAATCACTCCTCTAATGGCACCTGCGTCTCTGTGATGCCCTTTTAATCCTATTAGGGAGTCAGGCTCGGGGGGAAAGGGGGGGGGGAAACAGGGATGAAAGGGAAAAAAAATGAGCTTTTTGCAGACCCGGCGTTGTTGGGGGTGACCCGCAGCACCTGCAGCCCCGCGGGGGGGCCGCGGCCGTCACCCCCCCTCAGGCCTGTCCGTGTCCCCCGCGCCCCCCTTCCCAGGGGCCACCCGGCTCCAATTAAAGCAGCGATTTGGAGGTTAATTAATACAAATGATGTCAAATATTACACTGATCAAACAAAAAGCCTTTGGCTTCCCCGCCCCTGCCGTGGGCGCTGCATAAGGGAGCGGGATCCCCCCCACCCCTCGGGGTTCCCCCTCCCCAAAGCCCCTCAGAAGGGGGTTTTCTTAACCCCGAGGGCTCCCCCCATCTTTTGTCTCTCCTCCCCGGGGGGGTATTCGGGTGAGCGCGGATCGCATCCCCCCGCACCCCCCCTCCCCTCCCTGGCCATTAATCCCCACTAATTGCCCCCCACCCGCCCGCTGCCCCGGGGTCTCCGCAGGTGTTTGAGGGGACATCTGGGATCGACGCCAAGCAAACCTCCTGCGAGTTCACGGGGGACATCCTGCGCACCCCCGTGTCCGAGGACATGCTGGGTAAGCCCTGCCCGCGGCTGAGCCCGGACACAGCTCGGGGCACGGGTGGGGGGTAACCCGGGAGGGGCAGTTTGGGGATGTTGGGGAGGGGGTGTTCAGCTCTGGGGCTGAGCACGCGACCCTTCCATCCCTGGGAGTGTCCAAGGCCAGGCTGGACGGGGCTTGGAGCAACCTGGGATAGCGGGAGGCGTCCCTGCCCATGGCAGGGGGTGGGACTGGATGGGATTTAAGGTCCCTTCCCACCCAAACCGGCCTGGGGTTCATTATGGCCGGGTGTGAGCCCCCCTCTATCCCCACAGACCCCCTGCAGAGCTGGGTGCCGGCAGCCCCCCCCGAGCCACCCCCAGCCTCCCCCGGGGGTGTTCAAACCCCCCAAGCCACGTTAGAGGCTCCTGAGTGTCCCCCCGCGCCAGAGGGGTCACGGCCGGTGACGGGGGTCACTCGGGGTCGCGGGGGGGGGGGACGGACCCTGGGCTCCGGTGCCGCTCCGTGGTCGGGGGCCGCGTGTCTGCCGCGATCTCCATCCCGCCGCGGACGGATCCCGGTCCCCGGGGCTCGGCAGCGCCCGCGCCCCGCCGCAAAGGGCAGCGCAAAGGGCACGTGTCGAGCGCGGTTCGGCTGCCAGCGGTGACGGCCGGGCACGGGGAGGGACCTGCTCCTCTTCTCCCAGCCGGGGACCCCTGATCCCGCAGCCAGGGACCCCTGCTCCAGCAACCAGGGCCCCCTATTCTGCCCCAGTTAGAGACCCCCTCCTCACCCAGCCAGGGACCCCCGACTCCCCCCAGCCAGGGTCCCTGTGTCCCCTGTGCAGGGTCGTCCAGCGCGTCCCCCCGGCTCTCCCGCGGTGCCGCCCCCCAGCCCGGGCCGGGGTCCCCCCTCCCTGGCCGGTCCCCGCGCGGGCTCGGGGCCGCAGCCGCGGCTCTGCCGTGCCCGCTGACCTTTCATGCTCCGCGCTCCGCGCCCCGGCCCTGCCATCACCCTGATCCGCTCTGACACCCGTGACGTGTCCCCGGCCCTGCTGGGGACCGGCGGAACGTCCCGTGGGGCGGCAGCGGGGTGGGGGGGATCGGGGGGGGCGGCGTGTGGGCGCAGCGGCTTCGTGGCGATCGATGGCGCGGCTCCGAGCCGGTCGATGAGGCTGAGAGGGAGCGGTGATGCCGTGTGACCCCCCCCATCCCCGGGCAGGTGGGGGGGGGGCTTGGTGTCATCCCCCCCCCCCGCCCAGGAGCGGGGGACACCGAGGGGGAGGTGATGGGGGTGGCTGGGGACGCGGGAAGGGGGTCCCGGGGCTCTTGTCCCCATGGGCTGGCACCTTCCTGCCACCAGGGCTGTGGTGTCACCCAGCCCCCGGGGGACACCGCCCACCCCACACGGGCACACCTCGTGCTCTGAGATGGGGTCTGGGGGTGCCCACAGCCCCCCCCGATGCCAATTCCTCTGCTCCCCACCTGCAGCCCCCCAGCACCGGTACCCGTGTCCCCTCTGGGCACCCCAGGGGTGTCCTGTGGGATCGGGATGGGGACCGGGACCGGGATGGGGACCCTGCCCCGCGCCCACGGGCTGGCAGGTGCCCCCCGGCAGCCTCTCCCCCACACCCCGGCTGGTGGCCCCGGGCAGGGACCGGCCCCGGGCAGGGACGAGCCCCTCTGTCCTTGCAGGTCGGGTGTTCAACGGCTCCGCCAAACCCATCGACAGCGGCCCCCCGGTGATGGCCGAGGACTTCCTGGACATCAACGGTGACGGCTCCGGCCCCGCGGGGCTGCGCTGCCCCGAACGGCCCTGGGAATGCGGGAGGGACTCGGGGACAGCCTGGCACGGGGGGTAGCGCCGGTGGTCAGAGCAGCCCCGTGGTGTCACCTCATCCCTTCATCCGTCCTTCCATCCCTCCTTCCATCCCTCCATCCCCCCCACGGAGGTGCCCCGGGTGGGGTCCGGGTACCAGGGCAGTGCCTACCCCACCCCAGGGCTGGGGATGCTGCCCCAGGAGCTGCTCCCTCCTTGTCTCCAGACTTTGTTCCCTAATTTTTGGCACCAATTTTTGGGGCAAACGAGGCCGCCCCACCCCCGGGAGCGTCCAGGGCCGTGTTGGACGGGGCTAGGAGCAACGCGGGCTGATGGAAGGTGTCCCTGGGTGGAACCGGATGGGCTTTAAGATCCCTTCCAACCGGCCCCATTCCATGACTCCTCCTTCCCGGGGTGCCCCCCGTCCCTGTCCCGCTCCAGGCCAGCCCATCAACCCCCACGGGCGCATCTACCCCGAGGAGATGATCCAGACGGGGATCTCGCCCATCGACGTCATGAACAGCATCGCCCGCGGGCAGAAGATCCCCATCTTCTCTGCTGCCGGGCTCCCCCACAACGAGGTGGGTGCCCAGGAGGGGTTTGGGGGGGCTGGAGCCTCTCTCCTGTCCCAGGGGAGCCCCGGCAGCTCATGCCTCGGTGTCCCCGCTGACACAGGAGGGGGAAAGCAAACCCTGAGTGCCAAGAACTGGGGGGAGAAAAGGGGATCTGGGCTGATATGGGGGCCCAGACCGGGGCTGGGGGGCCGCAGAGCACCCCAGATCCCTGCGGGGGTGGCCATGACATGGAGGCAGAGCAGGAGGGGCTGGAAGTGCCGGAAGGTGATGGGATGGGATGGAAACAACTTGGGGTGACAGCAGAGGGTGACCAGGGGCACGGCACGATGGTGTCACAGGGAGGGGGACACCCCACTGCCCCCCGACCCGTGGGGTGGGCACCCCCCGTGGGCTGGGTGGGCAGCTGGGGGTGCGGGGGGTTCCCTCCTGGCGTGCCCTCTCCTGTCTCCGTGCCCTGTCCCCGCTGCCAGGGGGCCGTGTCCCGGTCCCGGGGGCTCTGTGTCCCCTCCGGGGGGGCTCCGTGCTGACCCCTCCTCTGTCCCCCCCCCCAGATCGCGGCGCAGATCTGCCGCCAGGCCGGGCTGGTGAAGAAATCCAAGGATGTGGTGGATTACCACGAGGACAACTTCGCCATCGTCTTCGCCGCCATGGGGGTGAGTGGGGACGGGACGGGACAGCCCGGGCACAGCCACCCCCCTGCCCCGCTGAGCGCTGTCCCCGCCCCGGGCAGGTGAACATGGAGACCGCCCGCTTCTTCAAGTCGGACTTTGAGGAGAACGGCTCCATGGAGAACGTGTGCCTGTTCCTCAACCTGGCCAACGACCCCACGTGAGACACTCCCCTGGCTCCGGCACCCGCTCCTCCTCCTCCTCCTCCTTCCTCCTTCTCCTTTGCCT